GGTGGTGTTTATATAATATGCGGGTGCTGAGCATTTTACAATGATGTTGCAGAAATAAAAAAAAAGGCCGTTACCGTGCTACTTTCTTCAAATCTTGCTAGTATATGTAATAATGACATGGCTAAAAATATTAGTATGGTGACTATTTACAAATTTCAATATGGCCACGAAATTTCACAACATTATTAGAATATCATATTCGATTACCGACAAACCCATGCACACATATGCACACGTTCAGTTAAATTCAGTTCAGTCCAAAGATCTGTTACAGGGGTTTACCTGTAAATACACACGACTATATACACAATAGGTACATATATCTAGTATAATTGGAATACACATGGTAATAACAGCCATTAAAAAATCTGCATCAGCTGATGATGTTTTTGCTCGCTAATTCTACATTGATCGTTTTACTGTCATGACAGAGAGGACATACTACCTCATAAAACTGATCACTGCTGTGAATACAATTATCCACTAATTACAACCATACATCACATATGTATATAAATGAAATATAGCATTTATATGATTATGTAAATGAGGTAATAATTCAATGATAATATAATATAATATAATATAATATAATATAATATAATATAATATAATATAATATAATATAATATAATATAATATAATATAATATAATATAATATAATATAATATAATATAATATAATATAATATAAACCACTGTGAAAGTAGTAGTTTGTTAACCATGTTATCGTTCAATATTTAATAGCTTTAATAGCGTGTCATTTAGCGCATTGGCGGCCATCTTGGATTAATTAATCTCCCCACATTTTTTCTTAAATGTACCCTGACGTATTTTGCTTATCACACACACATATATTTAAAACAATTTAGATTCAATGAATTATGATCGAATAATACGTACCCCAATCATCACTATGGTAGATGATAGATGTCTATAAATAAAATATAACTGGGTGGCTTTGTTGAAATTCAAATTATCTAAGCAGAAGCTGTATACAAATATCTAGTGTCCCGAAATACTATAGTAGTAATTTAGAGCATGCTAGTAATAACTCATTTATTGGGAATTGACCAGTAGCGCATTTGTGGGCTTCTAGGATTCACCAATTTCCCCCCATGTTGTGAAATGCATCTCGAAATGCATCTATGTTGAGCGCATATAAACTAAAAACAACCTTCAAACCTGTGGTCGAAAAGATTCGATGAATTATTCTACAAATTAGAATACATTATTTCCTAAAATAGCAAATTTGAAATTTGCCATACATAGACTTTGAGGGTATAATCTACACAAAAAAGCTTCAAGTAAATCATCGGTAACATTTTCTCCAGAGATTTACCATTTTTTGAGCCCTGGCTCATGGACTAATATATATTCATATATACATGTACCAAAGTATACCCCCAGGAATTACCTTATCCAAAGGCGTCAACTCCAGTCTTGATCTGTTAGCGACCTCACACGAATGGATATAGTTGTATTGCATCAAGTTCTATGCAGGGGAATAGAGACAAAAATAACATCTTTCTTACATTATGAATAGAGTTGTAAACGTAATCTCAATCATATATCATGTTACACTCTCATATTCTAAATTCCTGAAAACAAACCAAAAACAAAACATAACTGTCTTTAAAGCACCATATTAAAAAAAATATCATCACCATCAGCACGAAACTCATCACTCTTCTGCTTGTAATTGTCCTGCCTGGGAATGTCAGTCATTTGATGTAATCGTCAGATTTAACTATGACATCACATATACATGATATACATGACATCATATTACATCCCGCGATTATCATGTATCATTATACTGACACGCAGCATTTGTTATTTACAAACCGGATGTGATAATATGTGATACTATATTTAATGACTTTTTTTAAATCTTCGTAATGCGAACATTAGGCAACATTTATGTGCTACTTAAAACCATTAATGCTTCGTTTCAATACAAGCACTCAAAATAACATCTCCAGGATAAAGAAAATATTCAAGAAGATTGCTCGATTGAGATCTCCAGATCCTAACACAAAATTTCCAAATATCGAAAAACAAACAAACATGATATCTATGAAAAACTATTAAGACGTCTGACTTAACCATCATACAAATGATAAATTGAATGTCTCCGATGGCGATACACATAAACAAAGTGAAAAGTAAAGGTCTTTGGAAGTCTTACTTGGTAAAAGAATTTTATGACAAGACCACACACATTCACACGTTTGGTTCAAAGCAAGCATAATATTCCTGAGACTGCACCAGTTTGTCGATTACAGTGGTTGATTGCGATGCGTCTTGCGTACACTCTGGTTGTATGTTCTAATACAAAATGCCGACGACAGTTAGAGTACCCTCAAAATCGAAAGTCAAGTTGGTGATACAGTTGCCACGCAAATGAGGGTTATAAAACACGTTCAATGGGATTAAATTCTGATTAATAAAGTTGATGTGAATATGTACTCAAGTCTAATATTCAAATCAAAGTTGAAAAATATGCAAAACGTGGCTACACTTGTAATGAGTTGAATAATTACCAGCAGCCACGGCACTACATAGCCTGCTATATGATCTAATTTGAAAACAAACATCAAAATATGTAAATTACAATAGAATGAAGTCTGTATCTACTTATATACTTTTCGTTGTGAATTTTATTCGTATTTAAATTTTCACACGTCGTCCTTCAATAGAAAACTATATTACGTGTGAAATTTAATATAAAACGCGTAAATGAATTACAAATTTTGCAGGTTTCTTCAGTCTCGACACCGATTGAACACATTATGTTCAACCACGCAATAAAAACACGGCGAGTGTCGGCTATTTTGTGTCCACTTCATTTCCAATTTTGCCCTCTTATGTAACCGCATTAATTAAGTTTGATAGCGTTCACGCATTTGAGTTGTGACCGTATTTATCCCGGCCCCTGTATACTGTACAGTGACAGTAGTTTTTATTCATTAAGGTGGGTTTTTAGGCATGTGGGCGTATTATTAACCCCTATTCACTTTCTAATCGTCATCCCTTAAGGAACATTAATTCAGTTGTGACTGGTAGATTCCCCCTTTAATATAATATATTATTATGCGCCATTTGTGTCAATCACCAGTTAAACGATTATGTAATAGTGTTCAGTACTCTTTGTCTCGTCTTAGTTTGTTTTATTGCTCTCAATGCTACGCCCGTTTATTGATATAATTTTTCCATAAAGAATCACTGTCCTCCGGGACACCTGTTGTTTAGCCTGGCGTAACTGTAAGTGCATCTTGGAGGCGTCCAGTAATCACAGTATACTGGGCTGTGGATTCCACACAATCTTCAATCATTTGACGCTTTTGATATGACGTTAACATACATACTGCATCGATTAAGCAGGTTCATATTTTCAGTGTTTGAGGCTTACACAGTGGATGTATGCACAGCACTGTTTTAAATTGCTTTCTATCAAGATTAGCTTTATTCTTTATATTAGTTCAGCTTGCTATAGTATTTGCATACCATTGTAGCCGCTACGCCATTTAAATAAAAAGCCCCCACGCAACAAATCATGTGACATACTAATTACTGATTGGTATTTTTTTTTTCATTTTATTTTGTTATTCAAATATTGGTTATTACAAATAACTACTACTGGTACTCAAGACCTGACAACATAATTAAGGATCGTATAACAAACCTGCAAATTCAGAAACAAGATACATTATTTGAATAAATACCATGTAGCATACGAATAAATCTGCTCAAATAAACATCATTACTTGTAAAGTATGTGACGAGTTGGTGAGTGACAATTCTACACTACCCCCCCAAATATATGTCCTTAATTTTATTGTCCGTATATTTTATCCAACAACGAATTACCAATGTATTACAATTTATTGTTATGAACAATGATATGATATTTAGATTAATTCTTTTATTTCACCATTACATATTGCCAATAAATTTAATGACATTTTCAATCAATGGACAGGTCTTAAAATATATTTTTTTTACAAGTATCAATATAAAGGATTGCAATGGTGTTCCTAATATGATTCAAATAAATAATTATGTATTATCAAACTTTACAATACATTTTGACCGTAAGATAAGATACTTCAAAGTGACGTCAAAATACCGTTTTCCGTTTACTGCGAGAACTCAAAAAAATCAAACGTGGATCATGGGGATTCGACAAAGATTATTTTGGTATTTTCACGAACAATAATGTATTATACATATTAAATGATTGCTAATGTTGATGAAGTTAAAGCATGTCAACGCAATACCCCCTTCAATGATCGGCATTTCAACATTGAACTATAAAAAAATAAAAATTCAAAATCAAATCGTTCGATTTTTTTTGCGGCAAACGTTCGTTTCGTGCCTTTCACACAATACGCGAGATCTCGCAGTAAACGGAAAATCATCTATTACATGATAGCTATTAATTTTCGTTCTAAATGTTCTACATGTTATACAAGTCACTGTGATAGTTAGTCAATGAATGAAACATGTCTCACAATAGAATATTTACACGACTCACGCATCTTGCTAAAATTATCACCAAAACAAAGCAGCATATAATCCAATTATATATGTAACTGACGGAAGTTACTAAAATGATGCAGTCTAACATCAGTTTTGAAAATATCATGAATGTAATAAACGAAATTAACTATGTCATACGTAAAAAACATTGTAATTGTACTCTATAAATAGCTAATATCCTCAACAACTTTCGTGAATAAATATTTTTTATACAAAAAATATGGCATATGATCATGATTTTCAATGTGATTGGTTTATGCAAATCACGTGTTGATTCACGTCTTTTATGCTTTTTACATAAAGATATTTAAATATTTAAATTGTGAATATATTACATAGGAGATTACAAATAGTCATACATGAAATTTTAGAAAACTAATTTCAATGGCTGAATCTACTTTCGTCGTATTTGATTTCTGGTTACACGAATAGCACAAAAATATTATGTTAACACGTCACTTCATATTCATTTCATTAGATGTCTGTGCTACAGTCCTTGTCTGCACGGTAGTCGGCCCATTGGAGGTCTTGTACGCGCTCGGTGTTACTTTGTTACCCCGGCAGCCATTTTGCAGACACGGGAACATCCTGTAGAATTCCTTGCGAAAGCTCTCATTGAAATATGCATATAGACACGGATTTGTCCAGCTGTTGCTGAGGTAGGAGAACGTTGCAATGTGCACTTGTACTTCCAGACCCTTCATAAGCGAAACTGGGACATCGTCTGTGAAGTTGTAATATAGGATATACATGTAGTAAGGTAACCACGTGAGTGCGAACGCGATAACAACAAGAATTAACATTTTAATTGCCTTTCGTTTGTTCCGATTGGATATATTAGTCGGTCCCTTCTTTTTTAAGGCCACCACCATCAACACATAAAGTGGAATGATGATGATCAAAGGTACGAGGTACATGACTAGGAAATCTACAATATGCAATAACCGAGTAATATGGTGAAATTGCAAAGGTACCATGCAGTGCTTTTCTGTTACATTATTTATAGTGAAATAGCTCATATCCAGTAGTATCGGTTTTCGGAGCGAATACCCCAACGATGCTAACCATATTATAGATATGATGGCTCCAGCGTGCGATCTTGTCAGCTTTGGTTGTACAGGTGTCACAATAGCCCTGTACCTGTCAATCGCAATACCGATAAGTGAAAACACTGTCGCACAACGCGATGTCCATTGAAACCAAGCAAATGTCCGACAGACGAAGATATTATTATTTAATGAGGCGAAGAATCCGGGTATTAAATGATAAAACAGATTGTATGGAATCTGAAACATGGCCACGAGGAGATCAGCAACCGATAGTGAAATTATAAACATATTTGTGGATGAGTGGCGTAACTTGGGTTGTCTGATAACAGCAATTATAACCCAGATATTTCCAGAAACTATCATTACAAAGAAGGCGCAGTACGCAAATATCTCGTAGTTGTCGGGAACTTCGATAAGCCGTGGGTAATACATTTCTGTCCAAAATTGATGACTAAAATTACTGTTGTAATCCATGACGTGTTCTAGAATATAAAGGAAAATTGCTAGTTATGTAAAAAAAAGCATTACATCAAGCAGCATGAGAACCTTTAAATTATTTTTGCTTGTATAATGTCAGCACTCTATATACTTGCTTTCTACAGTATTATATCATTTTAAAATAATTATTTGAAAATACAATAGACACTCACCGTTTGACAGAGTCAATGGCTCAGTGCACCACGGTAGGAATTCTATAAAATTGAACACAATTAAGAACATGATTGTTGAGAATAATAATATGTAATGCGGCGTGGGTTATTCTTTGTATAAAGAGAACAGATTTCATTTGGACCCATGCGAATATATAAATGTCAGTTTCGTGCTTGTCAAACAGCTGTGTAATTATTGTGGTTAGCCAATAATCCCCAAATATGTCACTGACGTCCCCCTTAACGACCTATGTTATTAGTTATAAAGACGTCCTGATTTCAGCTTGATATACGTTTTAGAAATCTACGTTACTAGACAATTTACATGGTAATAATGTACGTGATATGACGTGACGTAATGGTTAGACGTATACAAGTCTACTTCACGAGTCGGCAGGGATTGCCTTTTAATACTATGTGTCACATTTGGTTTACCTATCTCGTTGGGAGGTAAGTGCGGGTAATGTACACTGAATGCGGATTACGGGTTAGATGCCTTTGTGCATATAATAGAATACCTGCGTATTAAAATTACGTTCCACGATTTGATGAGGCAAATTGCACTGTACAAATTCCTACTTTCGCAAACTGCCACGGTTATCTTTTGGATTACTATAGTTATAAAGATCGATACACAACGGGTGGAATACGCATAACATATATTATGTAGCGTAGTGTGTGTTCACTAGCCTTAAATCGATAACTGTAATTGCATGTTGTGTTTCTCGGTCGTTAAATTAAAATAACAATGCGCGCCGATTGATGTGTTTGGTGTTATTTTACATCTTCGATATTGTTGCTAACTCCGCAAAGAAATAAAAAACATTTTCATTTAAAACATGATTACGTCTTTTATACAACATATTGTAATTTGCGCTGCTAGAGGGCGTCACAATTTGCAAAATGCTAGTTTCAATCATGTTACAATACACGAGCGTTAAATTGTGTTTCCCTTATTGATGCGAGTCTGTTATACTTTAATTTATAAAAGTTGCATGCAACTATAACAGAAACAAACCATCACGTAATGGATTAATTTATTCGACGATGACCGATGAACAAACACTAACCAACTTCCCGTGGACACTGAACTAAAATTATATCGCAACATACAAGTTAGTTAATTGCAGATAAATGTTCACGGGGTCAACTGTGACGATTCCTTCATGCAAACAAATATGATACTATAAATACATTCACATTAAGCACGACTCTAGAGAGTAGAGCAGAAAAGATGCAGTTCCAAACATTTCATATATTTCCATGAAGTGCGTATCCCTTTATTGTTGTTATCATGAAGCGCAACGCTGGGTATCGTAATATAATTGGAGCATACCAATCAAATGTAAATTGCATTCAGACGTCAACTATGAAGAAGTTTGGGGGTCACTGCATGTCGTTTACAAGGTAACCAGGAACATGTACGTTTCAATCTCGCATTTCATATTATCGTAAGTATTTTGTAATAAATAAACTGCTTCTGATCTAGCCAAGGAATGGTAACAAGAGGATTCATTATTGCCTGAAATACAATTTTTTTTTCAGAATTTTTGCCACAAAGACCAGAAAAGGAAATGCTTCTTCGACTCGCAGCGTCACAAATAACTGAACAACCCAAGAAGAAACGCACAGAAACATAGAAACACGACATAAACACAGCTGTTTTGTGTGGTTTATTTAACATACGGGGTTTTATAGCGTGATTAAATACGGCACACCCGTGTATTTGGTATTGGTCATCAATATCGGTTCACATAATCCAATTTATCTTAACAGATTTACTTACAAAATAGATTTATCTGATGTTGATGAACATTTTCTGTGTTCATGCTATCATACAAATGAAACATTTTTCTAAGATTTACACGATCATAATGCATCTTATGTAATTAATCTAATGTAAGAAAGTTTATGTACTTCCATTATGTATGTCGCGCGGAGATCGAAAATTCCCATTTATTGTGCAATTATTGATCGATGTTTATACAAATGTTTTTATGTTCTAGTTCGTGTTTATAGTTACTTATACATGTTTCTCTGATTACGATCCGGCCTTTAGTCGCTGAGTTATAAGCATTAGAAACAAACACAATCTTACCAGATTGACCATTTTAAAAGTCGGACCCATTGCGAACGTAGGAGAAGTAATCTCAACGATCACGCGCTATACACGCAAAAACACGCGTCCGACCGAAAGCACGTTTCACCTGTTAGTCTTGTTAGTTTTGTCTTGTACACAACGTTCATCCAGTTTCTCAATAAACGGAGTAGTCCTTCATTTTGACTGACTTCGCATACTCAGATTGTCTTGCTGTGTGTTAATAAGGGAAAGGACCTGTGCTGGACTTTATCCGTCCACAACAATGTACATCCGATTAAAAAAAAATATGTTTACGCGACTATATTAGTCTGATCAGATTTGGCATTTATACCACTCTCGAGAAGGCGGTGTCGTGTACTTCAACTCACAACACAACACAACATATATTTATTTATGCTAAAATGATGAAGTTTAATCGTAATAATCTAAAATTAGACTAATTTGTTTAGATGAAAAGAAGTTTCGATCGTTTTTTTATAATCTTAATGAGTACATACATGTTTTTGATATGTATTCGCCTATAAATATTAGTCAGTCGGTTAGCCAACTGATTCGAAATCTGAAATGCCTGAACTATTAAAGTAGATAGTAAGCTATTCATAGACGTCCCTGAGGGACGCCGCCTTTGGCAGGGTAGAAGGCCATCCGATGCATAGCGGCCATGAGAGAAACTAGTACACTGAGGAAATGTCTACTCAGTGCTCTGATACCAGTTCACTAACACCTTGGGGATTGACTAATGTGTGGTGGCTGAGCCTAGCCGACATTCTGGAACGACTTGGAGACTGGACTGATGTTTGTGTATTGGAGCCTGTAGCTACATACAAAACCAAGGAAAAGAGCGTATATCAGTTGAAACACAAGGCAACAAGACAACCCTATCTGATTGAATAAATCTGTTGAAATCTATACAATGGTGTGATGGGGAGTCATTTCACCTCCCGTGCCTAATGTGACTATATTTTTTGTTTCAGTCATTCGAATATACTGTTTCTAAACTTATACCTTGACAAGTAATTAGGAATGTTTATCGCAATTAGGAAGGGGGAGGGGCAATCGTGGTTTAGCGAGTCGTAAATAATAGAGAATAATTACACATGAGATAGCGTGGTGTATTGCGAAACACAGTATTCATATTTTATTTAAGCGCGTACCAAGACAAATATTGACTAAAATATTTCTAAAAGTAAAAAATATTAAATAAAAAATATTGCGAAAATTTGAAATTGTAATGTTAACATTTCAGAACAATTTTGAATGTGATTTAAAATCAATTAACATGTTTGTATAATTTTCTATCCTCCTTTCTCATCCTATTATAACTTCGTCACACTTATTTACAACTGACGTACTATTTTTTGTAGAAATTGACTACTGGAATCTCTTATTTGATGTTTTTCACTTAAATACAAAGACGCCCCTTAATAACCTAATTGTATTTTCTGTTTACACCGTCTTGCTATGATTGTGAGATGTAAGTAAATCTTGCTGCTCCACGTAATATCAAAGACGTACTTATATATCTCTGGGTAATGCTAAAGAAACTTGTGCATACTATGAATCAGTTTAATCTGTTAAATCAGGATGACTCTAATTTTCTAAAGAAATGTCACAAACGTCTTATATATGCACAACGTGATTTAATAAAATAGGAAAACATGTTCATTTCTTTGATATTCAGTACATTGGCAGTATGTAATTAACTGTTGAGTTTAGTTTTGATAAGTCATTCATCACAGGGATATTGCTATGACAATGCTACTGAATACATATGTCGATCAGAAAATAAACAGACTGAATTGACATTTAATAGATGCAATAATAGAATAGCTCCTAACGAAATTTCAAGGGATCTGTATGCATTGGCTTACACGATTTTGAAAATAGAGATCAATTTATTTATTCCTTAATTAAGTTGACACAGAAACACTCATGATTTACAATTCGAAAGTATTGTGTCAGCACAAGCAATGCATGGTGATTTAATCAATGGAATACTATAAATGAGAACATGAGCATATATGCACAACACACGAACCCCGGCATGCCCAATAGTTTGCACTTCAAAATAGTTATTAATATCTTCTTGTTTTTGCCGGTGACACATAACTAGGATATTAGTTTTAATTAATACAAATACTGATATCCATAACTAATCACGCGGTTGCGCAAGGAGAATATAAAATCGATACAGATTATTACTATTACATTGATTACATTTCCTTTGAACTGATTAAGTACTTGATTGTTGGTTGTTATTTTATTATCACGTTAATATATATATATATATATATATATATATATATACTGATACAAATATATCCGTCCAAAGTTTTTTTTTATTTGCTGAATATTTTGTTTGAAGCTATATTACACCCATCAACATCATAGATGCGTGGATCGGATTTACTACCAGTCAGTATTCAATATGTTATACGTGGATATGACATCAACTACGAAACAAGCGGCATGCACATATACTTCCATAAATACAATAAAAACGTCCAGTGCATATTTTTGAAATCAATCACTTTGTAATTAGCATGTTCCCCGTGATGTAATAGTGTTACGATAACCATATGTCACTTTGTATAGCCGTCTTAATATTAAATTATTTTATTTATAAACCAAACGCCATTTTATTCAAACGGGACTATATAATGATAAATGTGAGCATGTTG